GCGCCTCGCCCCGGGCCCCCCAGCATGAAGACCCCGGCGGACACAGGTGGGGGCGGGGGCAGCACGTGTGGGGGAGACTTGTTGCCCCGGGAAACAAGGCGGAGAAACTTTGGGGGGGCTGAAGGGTTCTGGAGAAGCCCGAGTGATCCCCAGTTACGGGGGACCCCCAAGTACTCGGGACCTGTTGCTTCTCACAGCGCGAACGGGGGGTACTGCATGGGACCCCCAATTTCTGGCTGCGGGCTGAGTGGTGTGGGTGCTGCGAGTCCTGGTCCTCTCCTTGCCAGGATCCGGAGAGCTGGGCTCTCCCCCACTCCTGGGATCACGGAGGTGGCGGAGTCCCTCGCCGCCGTTCTGTCACGTTGCACTCTGGGGGCCGGGACGTGTGCGGGGCTTGGAGGGGGGGGCCTGTCCACGGTGCCCGCTATCCCCGGTTCTGTGCGGCGAGGTCCGGCCCGTGACCTTCACCGCGGCGCGTGCTCTGCACCGGCTTAGAGAGGGATACGGGATGGCCTCTAGGAGGAGGGCGTGAGTGGGGAGCCCGGGACTCGGGGTCCGGGCAGCGCCGCCCCTCCCCCGCCCGTCTCCGCCGGCTCTTCGCTCCCCCGCCCGCGCGGAGTCGCAAAGTTCCAAAGCGCAGCCCGAACGTTCGAAAAAGGAACTTTTTGTTTCCGACCTTAGAACGCGCGGCTTTAAGGTGGCTCCGGGGAGACCTGGGTACCCTCCTCTCGCGCCGCCGGGGGCTGGGGGTTGAGGAGGGTGAGGAAGGTGGGGGGGACGCGGAGGTTTCTCCCCGCCCCCCTTCCTCACCCTGCTCTTCTCTTTCAACCCGCCGTCTTTTCCCTCCGCCCCACTCTTCCCCGCCAACTTGCTCCTCCTTAAGGGGCCAAGGTTCCCCTCCTCCGCTCGGTCGGCGGGCTGGGGGCAGCGGGATTAACCCCCCTCCCACTCGGACTTTCCCCCCTCCCCTCCTCCGTCGCCCCCGGGCTCGGGCGGGCTGGACTTTGCGCCTGGGCGCGTTGGGGGGAGGGGTCCCAGCCGCCCCCTGCCCG